TGGGGTGGGGTGGGGAAGCGTGGTGATGGTGGTATTTTGCCCTAAAACAGAGCGTTTCCCACTTCCCAGAGGGAGACTTTGTGCGGAAAAATGACAAACCAGCCACTCGCTGGACTTAAATCTCCTATTTTTGCACCAAAATGGTGCTGGGAAAGGGGAAATTTTGGGGGTGCAGCCCTTAAAAGGGGTGCTTCAGGTTGTGGGGTCGCACCCATGGGTGCTGGGATCTCCGGGCGGCGGCAGCATGGGTGCCCCAGGGGAGTTTAGGGTGATCCAGGGAATATTTTGGGTGCTCCGGGGTGGGTTTGGATGGCCCCAGAGGGATTTCGGGGTGCCCCTGAGGGGGGTTTGAAGTGCCATCAGGGGGTTTTGGGTGTCCCCATGGGGTTTTTTTTGGGGTGCTTGGCTATGGGGTTCACCTTCTCCAGGGTTTCAATGCGCTGTTTCAGCAGGCGGTTCTCGGTGCGGAGGCGCTGAGGGGTGGAAAATTGGGAAGAATTAGCCCCGGGGGGGTGGTGGTGATGGCCCCAGGGGTGTCACTGAGCCTGGGGACAGCGGGACGTGGGGGTAAAGCGGCCACAGGGATGGGCTAACCCGTCCCCAGATGGCTCCAGCGGCCCCAGAGATGGTTCAGGTGGCCCTGGGGTGGCTCAGACAACCCTGAAGATGGGACAAAGTGACCTCTGGGTGGCTTATATGGCCCTGGGGACAGGTTAAGTGGCTTTGGGGACAGCTTAAATGGCCCCGGGGTGGGTCGTGGTGGCTCCAGGATGGCTTCGATGGCCGCAAGGATGGCTCAAGTGGCCCCAGGGATGAGCTAAACGTCCCGGAGGTTGGGTGAAAGCGGCCCTGGGGTGGCTGAAACCGCTCTGTGATGGGCCAAGTGGCCCCAGGATGGCTTAAGTGGCCCTTGGGGTCACCTCAAGTGGCCCCTGGGATGGGTAAAAGTGGCCCCAAGATGGCTGAAATGGCCCCAGGGATGGGCTAAGCTGCCCCAGGAGGACTCAAGTGGTCCCTGGGGATGGTTCAAAAGGTGCTGGGGACAGGCTAAATGGTACCCAGGATGGGCTAAGTGGCCATGGGGACGGTTTAAGTGGCCCTGGGATGGGTTGAAGAGGCCCCACAATGGCTTAGATGGCCTCAGGGGTGGGTGAAGTTGTCCCACAATGGCTCAAATGGCTCTGAGAATGGGTCAAGTGGCTCCAGGAGAGGTTAAGCCATCCCAAGATGGCTCAAGTGGCCCTAGGGATGGGTCAAGTGGCTCCAGGGACAGGCCAAGCCACCCTGAGATGGCCCAAGTGGTCCCAAGCATCAGTTAAATGGCCCCAGGATGGCTCAAAGTGACCCCAGGGATGAGTCAAAGTGGCCCTGGGATGGCTTAAATGGCCCCACAGATGGGCTAAGCCGCCCCAGGATGGCTCAAACAGCTCTGAGGATGGGTCAGGTGGCCCAGGGATGGGTCAAAGCGGTTCCAGGACGGCTTAGGTGGCCCCAGGTATGGGCTACGCCATGCCAAGAGGGCTCAACTGGCCCTGGGGATGGGTCAAGAGGCCACGAAGATGGCTCAAGCGGTCACGATGATGGCTCAAGCAGCGCCAGGACACCAACACTTGACTTGTCTCACCTTGATCTCGATCTGCTCCTCCATCTCTTTGTTCTTGATGGCGGCGTACTCCTTCTCCAGCCTGTTCGGGACACGGGGACAGGCTGGGACACCAGGATGGGGACCAGACCCCCTGGCCTTGTGCCCCATGGCTGCTGGGGGGACCTCACCCAAGGGCAGGAACCCGTCTTCTCATCTCACCTCTTCATCTTCTTGGGGTTGTACTTGACCTGGAAGGCCCTGAGGATGAGCTTGTCGGGGCAACTGTCGAACTGGTGGGGGATCACCTTCTGGAAGTACTGCGAGTAGGGAAACCGGCCATGAAACATGGCCCTAAAATACAGACCGTCGTGTAAACCAGCCCCAAAAGTAGGGCATGATAGGTAAAACCACCCCAAAATAGGAGCTGATGAAGAGATCTGCTCCCAGACGCGCCCTTGTTGCATAAATCCACCCCAAAACACAACTTATTGAATAAATCAGCCCCAAAAAGGGGCCCATCATGTAAAACTAAAATACAGCCCGTTGCATAAATCCACCAGAAAACACGTTCTGTTGCATAAATTGGCCCCAAAACACGTCTCGTTGACTAAATCTGCCCCAAAATACGGCCCATTAGACAAATCCACCCCAAAACATGTCCTGGTGCCTAAATCTGCCCCAAAACACGTCATGTTGGACAACTATGCCCCCAAACACATCCTGTTGGACAAATCTGCCCAAAAAACCATGTTCCATTAAACAAATCCACCCCAAAACGCGTCCCGTTGGACAAATCCACCCCAAAACGCGTCCTGTTGGACAAACCCACCCCAAAACACATCCTGTTGGGACAAATCCATCCCAAAACACGTCCCGTTGGGACAAATCCACCCCAAAAGCCACCAGCACGTACCTGGGACATGCCCTCCATGTCAAGCTGGACAAGTTCAGCTTGGTTAAACTGCAGCAGTGCCATCCCCACACGGAAGACGATCTCCAGCCCCTACGGAAAGGGTCCACGCTTGACCCCACGCCATCCCCTTTCCCACCCAGGGTTTAGGGTTTTTTCTCCTCAAAACCAGACCTGCTGGCATTGGGAGAACGTTTCCACATCCAAGCGGAAAACGGGGTTGGGTCCCTTTGTGATTTACGGTGCTGGCCGCAGCCCCGTTACCTCGTACATGAAGATGTCGAAGACGCGCGTGGCCACAGGAAGAGGGAAGGTGGTGAGGAAGAGGGTGAGGAACCAGGACGAGGCGTACATGGAGGTGAGGAAGCTCTGTGAGCGGAAGTGGATGTTCAGCTCTGGCAGCTGCTCCTGGATGGAAGAAATGGAGGAAATGAAGAGAAACGGGGAACGGTGGATGTTTTTAGGGGTCATTCATGGCTGCTGAGGTTTGAACAGGTCCATGAGGTCTTGTGGAGGTCCCTGAGGGGGTCTCATGGGAGGTCTGCTGGGGGAGGGTTTGTGGATTGTCCCCAAGGTCTCATGGATGTCCCTCAGGGCATCTCGCAGATGGTTCCTGGGGTGCCTCATAGATGGTCCCCCCTTTGGGTGTCTCTTAGATGGTCCCCAGGATCTCACGGATGGTCCCTGGGGCATCTCATGGAGGTGCTCTGGGGCCTCAGGGATGCCCCCCAGCCTGTCTCATGGACATCCTTGGAGTCTCACGGATGTCCCCCTTGACGAATGAGGAATGGTCCTCAGGGCATCTCATAGACGTCCCCAGGTTCTCGGTGTTGCTGGACAAGAACCCATCGGCGGAACCCATTTCTCCCAAGAGCTGCCACCTCACTCCTACCCTCTCTCCCTGTCCTTGTCCCCTGGTTCTACCCACTCTGAGCATTTTTGGGGGGGGCGTGGGGTTGTGCCTACCTGCAGCATGTACTCAAATTGGTAGATGCAGAGCCCCAGCTCAGCCATGCTGGGTTTGAAGAGCTCCCGTAAGCGGTATTCCTGCATCAGCCTCACGAACACGCAGAAGGCCTCTTCCTCGGGCATCTGGAGACCCAAAGGGACGTGTAAAGGCTCCTATTCCCCTACCCCGTTCCACCACGACTCCGGCGGGTGTTAAAAACCCACCAGCAGCTCCTTCTCACCCCAGAGTCGTCACAAACCTGCATGAGCAACAGTCCCACGATGAAGGCGCTACCCTGGCAGTATCCGACCTCCCGGTCCACCAGCGAATAGGCCTGGAAAGAGGACAAAAAATTCAAAATAAATTGATGTGTGAGCAAGGGGATCAGCGGGGCCACCATCCCCACACGCCGGGGCAGGCCAAGAGTGGAGGGAAGGCATCAAAAATAGCTTTTTTTTTTTTCGGGTTGACAACAGCTCCTGTGAGCACGGTGTTGCTCCACGCTTGAATTTAGACCCCAAACCACACAACTATTTGTTTCGTAATTCAGGGTAAAACTCAACAGGAAAAATGAGGTCCAGGGTAGATGGGGAATGAGGTACTTTTGCCAGGAAAGGGCTGTCACGCTGCAAGAAGCGACGGTTCCAGGAGTTTGTGGTGGAAACCAAACTCATCAAAAATTAATATCCAGTTAAAACAGCTTCCAAACCCGAAGCGGTGTCTGGTCTGTGGCCAAGATCCATTGAGGTTTGAGGAAAGACGTTACCTTCATAACGTTGAAGAGCACCTCCTGGCCCAGACTGTCCTGGCCCTTGAAGAACTCATGTTCCGGGTAGGTGCGGGCGATATCCCGTCGGATGAGCTTCTCGCAAGGAGAAGACATCTTGAGCAGCTCCGAGTATTGGTTTTTGACGGGCATGTCGGTGGCACTGCAGAGCAGTTGCCAGACGATGGCACGGAAGTGGTGGGGGATCCCTTTGCGGATGAGCTCCTGGAGAAAAACAGGGCAAAAAACTTGAGAAAACGGGTTTGAAGAAGAGGGGGAAGCTCCTCGTGGATGGAGGGAAGCTCCTTGTGGACGGGGAGACATCTCCCTGTCCCGGCACGGGGAAGATCATGCTGCAGATTTTCACAGCGGGGTTAAAATATAATTAAAAATAAAGCAGTTTCCTCACCTTCAGCAGCTTCTCCTTCTTCTTCCGCCATTCGTCCCACTCGTTAACGATGCGGCCCCAGAGGATCCAGGTGTCCTCCTCGAGGTGGCTGAGGTTGGAGGAGGCCGAGGAGCTGGAGACCAAGGAGGAGCCGCTGTTCCTTCGCGAGCCGTTCATGGAGCGCATCGACTTGGAGTCGGCCTCCAGTAGCCTGCAAGAGACCGAGATAGAGCCCAAAAGAAGCCCCTAGGGAGGAGAGAGCCCCTAAATCTGCCCGAAAAGAGGAGATATTCCCTCAAAACAGCCCCAAAGGAGGAGAGATTTTCCCCAAAAAATGCCTCCAAGGAGGAGGTATTTCCCCAAAGGAGAAGAGATTCCCCCAAAACTGACCCCCAAAAAGGAGATATTCCCTCAAAACGGCCCCAAAGGAGGAGAGATTTTCCCCAAAAAATGCCTCCAAGGAGGAGATATTTCCCCAAAGGAGAAGAGATTCCCCCAAAACTGTCCCCAAAAAAGGAGATATTCCCCCAAAACGGCCCCAAAGGAGAAGAGAGTCCCCCAAAACCATGCTAAAAATTGACGTATTCCCCCAAAACAGCCTTCAAGGAGAAGAGTCACCTAAAACAGCCCCAAAGGAGGCGATATTCCCCCAAAATAGCCCCAAAGGAGGAGATATTCACCCAAAATGCCCCAAAGGAGGGGAGAGTCCCCCAAAACGGTGCTAGAAATGGAGATATTCCCCCAAAACAGCCCTTAATGAGGAGAGTCACCCAAGACAGCCCCAAAGGATAAGAGATTCCCCCAAAACTGTCCCAAAATTGGAGATATTCCCCCAAAACAGCCCCAAATATACTCCTGTAAAGCAGCCCAAAAGCAGATATTCCCCCAAAACACCCCCGAAGGAGGAGAGAGTCCCCCAAAATGCCCCAAAGGAGGAGAGTCCTCCAAAATCATGCTAAAAATCGCGATATTCCCCCAAAACAGCCCCGAAGGAGGAGACAGTCCCCCAAAAGAGCCCCAAAGGAGGAGATATTCATCCGAAATGCCCCAAAGGAGGAGAGAGTCCTCCAAAACCACACAAAAAATGGAGATATTCCCTCCAACCACCCCAAAACAGCCCCCGGATGGGCTCTTTGCCCCAGCCAGATGCCGCCAGCTCCCCTGGGGATGGTTTCTTTAACAAATTTGCTTAAAAACCAGATTTCCAATGGGGTTTTTTTTTTGTTTGTTTGTTTTCCAAAAGGAAATTTCCTTTAAAAACGGCTTCGCAAGGAAATTTGCATTTCAGGGCTTGATTTTAAACACCAGGCCGGAGCTTTTCGCCCCAGGGCTCATTTCCCATCAAAAACAAGTTTAAAAAGCACCAGCGAAACGGGTGGGTTTATTCTTTCTTATTTCCAAACAGCCGCCTCCTTCCAGAAATGCCCTTTGCTCGCCCGAACGAGCATTTAAAGAGGAAAAAAAGATAAATAAAAATAGATAACCTTGAAAATAATAAACCAGAGTGTTTTCACCCCGGCTGGAGCGCTGCTTGGGGGAAGCGGCTTGTTGTCGTCCAGTTTCTTTGATTTTAAGGGTAAAAGAAAAAGGTTAAAAAAGCCAAACGGGGCGGATATCTCACCGATTTTGCTCCTCCAGTTTCGCCAGCAGCTCCAGTTCGTCGGGGCTGAGGTTTTCCGAATCGGAAGTGGGCGAACACGCCGGGGCTGAGTTGACGGAGGAAAGGGCTTCGTGGGAGGACGAGTCGGGGCTGACGGCTGGCGATGCCATGGCGGTGGCGGGGAGGTGCCGGCAGCGTTCCCGCTCCGCGGAGGATTTCGGGGTCTCACCTGGAAAGCCGAGAGCCGGACATCAACCACAACTTTTCCTCCTCGACCCACGGCTTCAAATCTCTTTAAATCCCCTCCCAGTTTTAGCTAATCTGCTAAAAAAAGGGTCGTGAGCATCGCCGTTTGCAGCCCACCGAGATATTTACTCAATTCCCCCCCAAAAAACTCATTTAAGCCCAGTTTTCACGTCACGCCAGGTCTAAGCACATCGCCCTGCGTTTTGCCCTAATTTAGATGAGTTAAATTAGCCTAAAACCCCCCAAATTAAGCCAAATGTACCCTCATTTGGGGAAGGAAGAGGCCAATGTGGGAAGAGGGGATTTACAGAAAGCTGTTTTCACTGCGGGGGTTGACAGCCCCCTCCCAGTTTGCCCGTTTTGGTGGTGTTTTATGGAAAAACGCCTCTCCGGGGAGGAAAGAGTCTTGGTTTGGGATTGCAGGGCCAGGCAGAAATGGGGTGGAAAACGGTGGGTTGAGGAACGCGGCAAAAAGAAGGGTTCAAGCGACGTCACCGGTGGGGATTTGCTGGAGGATCGGCAGGGACAGGGATCCCTCAAGGAAGCTCCGGTCTTTTTTGGGCTGAAAAACTCTGCTTTTGGTGAAAAAAAACCACCCACCAAACCCGCTGAAGACTGGGAAAATGAGCCCTCAGTTGCTGCTGTGGCCAACGGGGATGAAGAAAGCGGAGGAAAGAAAGAAAAAGTGCTGGAAGGATGGTGAATGTGCGATTTACCCGATTTGGGCTTAATTTGCAGATTAAGCTATAAAATCGAGGAGGTTTTAACCAAAAAGCCACGATTTTTGACCCTTAAATCAGGGGGAAAATGGGCCGGTGGAACAAAAGGAGCATAGAGGAGAGCAGAGCAACGAAGGGGCGCCGGGCAAACTCAGCCATAGCACAAACGGGGAAAATTCCACCCTGGTCAGTTCCCTTTTTTTTTTTTTTTTTCCCCAAAAAGCAGCAAAATTTAACAAGAGGAGCGCTGGGGGACGAAGCGAGTCAATCGTTAACGGGGATCCAGCAGATTCGCTTATTAAGCGGGAAATTTTAGGGGGGGGCGGAGAGAAAAAAACCACCTGGATTGTGTTTAATTCAGCCCCACGCTGCCCATCGCAGGACGGGGCTCATCCAGCCATTAATTTATTTTCGATAATTAATACTTCCCTGCAAGATATTACCCCAAATCCTGTTTTAATTAAAAAAAAAAAAATATAGCAGCTGTTTTCGCTGAAAAATTATAAGTTCCCGACAAAACAGCCGCCACAGAACAACCTGCCGGGGTTCAACGGGCCGCGAAAACGTCCTGAAATGGCTTTTTAGGAAAATATTCATTTCCACGTCGACGCCGCGGGGGTGTGTGTGGGGGAAATAAAAGCAAACAAACGTGTGGATGAGCACGGGATGGGCAAAAAGCATGATTTTAACCCCCAAAAAGGAGGTAGGCAGGTGGTAATATTCATTATGAGATGTAAGGGGGGAAAAAAAAACCCCAAACAGGTGGAAACGGGAAAAGAGGAGTAAAGGCAAGTTGAAATTTTTCAATGGGTTTTTGGGGTGAAATCCATCCAGGGATGGCGGCCGTCGTCTTTCGGGGTTCCCCATCGCGCCGAGAGCTTGTTCTGGGGTGACGGGGGAGAAAATTCGTTGAAAATGCTTGAATTTGGAGGGAAACCCCCCCCCGAAAGTCCAGGGGCGCCGTGAAAATTGGGGGAAAAAATGGCGGAAACGGTGCTGGAAATACCCCCGCGGTGCTCAGGGTGTGTTTGAAGGAAAGTGGCCCAAAAAGGGGCTCAGCCGATCCCGATTTCAGCCCATTTTTTTCAGCAGGTTAGGAAAAAAAAAATAAAATATTAATAAATAACTTTCCGGGTGCTTTCCTCGAGGTCCCCATGTGCCGCTGTCAAATTGCCTCGTTTTTTTCCCCCCCCAAAAAATACCGTCATTTAATCGAAACGC